CCCCGCCCCGCTCTGAAACCCGACGCTCCGGGCTTCCGCCCTCCTGGAAGCCTCGTGCTGGCCGGAGACAGCCCTGGCCCCCGCCAGCCTCCGAGGACCGAGCCCGCCCTCACCCTGGAGGCTGGGCCCGCGGCCTCGCTCTCGAGGTTTTGGCGTTTCGCAAGCAGGCCTCAGCTGCATTCCAGGAGCGCGTCCAAAGACCGGGCAGACGGAGTTCACCGCGATCCCGCTCTTCTTTTGAGTAATGCTTTTTTATATGTTAAAGAAGCGAAAGAAATGGCGGCCCCCAGAGCACACCACGGTGCATTAATTTTTCCCGCCAATTTTAGGTTATGAACACTTTGAAATGTACGGAGAAGTTGAATTTTTTTTTTTTTTGTGAAGTCTTTACCATTCACTTTCTTTCTGGTACTTCTTTTTTAAGGGCTGGAGAAGACGGCTCAGAGTCAGGCGGCTTACAGCTGACCGTAACTGCCGCTTCTACAGAGGGATTGATTCATGCACAAGCACACGTACATACACATCGTTAAAAATAAAAATACGTTGGAATGGTGGTGGCACACATCTTTAATTCCGGCACTTAAAAGGTAGAGTCGGGCAAATCTGTTGAGTTCCAGGTCCCTAGAGCAAATAATACTACTTTATAAAAAAATGTGTGTGTGTGTGTGTGTGTGTGTGTGTGTGTGTGTGTAGCTATACTTAATTTCTACAACATCTGTATCTATTCGCTGGTGTTAACTGGTTCATTTACAAGAACTGTACATTACTTGTATGGTAGGCACAAAGGTGCATATCTGTATTGGGAAGTAGACGCAAATTCAGCTAGATCTACCTAGTGTGAGCTAGGCCAGACTAGCAAGGGAAACACAGCTAGACCTTGTCACAAAACACAAAACGGAGGATAAAATGGCTTGGTAGGTGGGTAAAGGCCCTTGCTACCACACCTCCCCCTCGGTTCCATCCCTGGGACCTGTATAATGGAAGAAAAGCATTGACTCTTCTGAAGTTACCTCACCTTCACCGTGGTTTTATGACAAGCACACATACAAAGACACACTAAGAATGGAGAGGAAAGAAGCAGGTCTGTGGGGTCCTGAGCAGGTCAAGGTGCTTGGATCCTTGGAACCTATTTGGGAAGGGAAAGAAATAACCACAAAATTGTCTCCTGACTTGGTAAGCAATGCCAGTCCACACACGCATAATAATAATAAAAAATTAGAAGCCTGGTCTACAAAGCAAGTGCCAGGATAGGCTCCAAAGCTACACAGAGAAACCCTGTCTTGAAAAACCAAAATACGCCCGGCGGTGGTGGCGCATGCCTTCAGTCTCAGCACTCGGGAGGCAGAGGCAGGCGGATCTCTTGTGAGTTTGAGGACAGCCTGGTCTGCAAGAGCTAGTTCCAGGACAGCCTCCAAAGCCACAGAGAAACCCTGTCTTGAAAAAAAAAAAGAAAAAAAAGAAAAACCAAAATACTGCTACTACTACTACTAATAATAATAAATAATTAGAAAACACACAAAGCCTGCTCATGTGGATAATAAGTGCCCCATCGTGTAATAAGCACACTCCAAGCTTTAGCTCGTAGAAGCATTCTCTATAAAACCTAAGTTTTAGACAAAGAAGCAGGAATTCAGATCACTTGGCACAGTAAATAGGCAGCCTCGTGTAGTTTATTTTCTTTAAACTTTCTGTCCTGTCCCATTCCCCACCCCCACCCCAGACAGGGTTTTTCTGTGTATCCCTGGCCATCCTGGAACTTACTTTGTAGACCATATTTATTAGCTTTGAACTCAGATCAGTTTGCCTCTACTTCCTCAGTGCTGGGATTAAAGGCATGCAGTATACTACCGTCTGGCTAAAACTTTTTAAAATTATTTCATGTGTATGCATGTGGTCTCGGAGGCAAGCAGAGGGCATCAGATCCCCTGGAATTGTAGTTATATTGATGGTTGTGAGCCACCATGAGGGTGCTTGGAATCAAATCCAGGTCTCTGCAAGAGCAGCCAGTACTCTTAACCACTGAGCCGTCTGTCAAGCTCCAGAACTGTATTCCAGGAAGGAAGGGTTTTTATGGTTCAAGATACAGCCCATTATAGTGGGGGAAGTCAAAGCCGCAGGACCTGGGAGCAGTTTGTCACATTGCACCCACCGTCAGACAGAAGATAGGGTGCAAGCTTTTGCTCAGCCCACTTTCTCCTTTATAAATTCAGAACCCAGCCAGGGAATGGCTCTGCTCACACTCGGTGGGCCTTCCTCAATGACCTAATCAACATAATTCCCTACTGACATGCCCAGAGGCCAGGCTAGGTTATTGTAGAGCTCATTAAATTGACAATTGAGATTAACCACCCACCTATAGGAAGGCTGGGAATTGTGGTGGAGGATGCCTTTATTTAAGTGGAGCATGCCTTTAATCCCAGCACTCAGGAGGCAGAGGCAGGCTTGTTTCTGTAAGTTAGAGGCCACCCAGGTCTACAGGTTTAGTTCAAGGATATCCAGGGTTACACACAGAAACCCTGTCTCAAAATAACAAAAAAGACTAAAAATTAAGAAAAGCTGGAATTACGGAGGTTGTGCTGGATGAGATGGAAGGTACCTACTGCCAAGTGCGAATCTCAGTGTGTTTACTATGCAGAGCCCCTAGAGGAGGTGGCTAGTCTCAAGGGGGTCTCTGTTGGGGGTGGCTTCAGGTTGTAAATATCCTGGAGGACTGAAGACAGCATGAGGGTTTGCCATTCCCCAAGCATTACCCAAAGAAGGCTTTGCTGTCATGGGTCTGAGGCATGGGGACCTTGACATGGCTCTGCTCATGTCAACATAATCACTGGGACTCCCTCTGCTCCCCACAACACAGAAATGTTCTGTAGTCGTTTCTCTTCCTTCCTTCCTTCCTTCCTTCCTTCCTTCCTTCCTTCCTTTTTTCATTTCTGTGATGCTAGGGGTTGAAACTAGGGCCTGTGCATACTACAGCAGTGCTCTACTAGTGAGCAACACCCCCCAGCCCTCTGCCTTGGTTTTAAAATGTATTAATTACTTTTGGGCTTTTTCTGATACAGAATCCTTGTAAACCAGGGTGGCCTCAAATTCACTATATAGTTAAGGGTGATCTTGAACTCCTAATCCTTCATCTGCTTTTCATGTTCTGGGATTATGGGTATATTCACTATGCCTGGCTATTTTGACAGCTTTGTCTGTCTTGGAACTTGATCTGTAGAGCGGGCTTGCCTCTCACAGAAATCCACTTGCCTCTGCCTCCTGAGTGCTGGGCTATTTTTATTTTATTTTATTTTATCTGAGGCTGGCCTGAAACTCCATTCTCTTGCCTTAGCTTTCTTTCTTTTTAAAATATTTTTTAAAAATGTATATGGGTGTTTTGTCTCTGTGTGTATGTGTTCCTTGTGCAGAGGTCAGAAGAGGGTGTAGGATCCTCTGGAGTTAAGATGGTTGTTAACTATCAACCCAAGTTCTTGGGGAATCAAACCCAAGTTCTTTCCAAGAGTCATGGAGCCAGCTCTCTAGTTCCCTGCCTTCCTGCCTTAGCATTTCTTTCTTTTTGGGGGGAGGGGGTGTTGAGACAGGGTTTCTCTGTGGTTTTGGAGGCTGTGCTGGAACTAGCTCTTGTAGACCAGGCTGGTCTCAAACTCAGAGATCCGCCCGCCTCTGTCTCCCGAGTGCTGGAACTGCCTCAGCTTTCTTTTCTTATTTAGAGACAGAGTCTTATGTGGTCATGTAGCCCAGATCTGTAGATGAAGATGATCTTGAACTACTTGATCCTCCTGCCTCTATCTACGCGTGCTGGGGTGACAGGTGAGTGCCACCATGCCCTGCTAGCACTTAGGATTTTTAGAGGGTGGAAACTTTTGGAGCTTTGCCTTAGTATTCTATGGTAACATCTTTCTATTGAAGTTTTGGAGATTTTAAAGTCATTTGCTCTTTCTCAGTTGCTTTTACATGGTAATGTTCTTATGATAGCTATTCTTGGTTGTAAACTTGACTACATCTGGAATTAACTAAAATTCAAAAATGGAGGGCACACCAGTGAGAAAGTTTTTGCTTAATTTGAAGTAGGAAGATCCCTTCTTTACTCTGGGCCACATCTTCTACTGGCAGCCTATATAAGGACACAGAAGAAGGAAGCTTTTGTTCTTTGCCTGCTTTCTTTTGCCTTGCTAGCAAATCCAGTCCTTCACTGGCATTGGAGCCTACTTCTTTGGGATTTTAGTGTCTACTGAAGACCAGCTGAGACCTCACGGACTGAACAACTACTGGATTCTTGGCCCTTAATGCAGGTCTCTTAACTATATTCTCTAGCAAGCCTAGTGTATGTAGAGAGAACTGAAGTAGGGCAGAGGTTGGCACTGTAGTTTAGGGTCATGAATGTGTGTGGATGTATGTATATAGTTTGAGTGTTAAACGACCCAGTTTTAGATGTCTTTTGAAGGTACTGTAGACATAATCTCTTGATTTTTTTGGTTTTGTCTTTGAGACAGGGCGTCATGTAGTTCAGGCTGGCTTTAAACTCTGTGTAGCTGAAGATGTCCTTGGACTATGAATTCTGCCTCTACACCCCGAGTGTTGGGATTATAGATGTAGGCCACCATTCTGGGTTTTGCTGATGGGTTTGCTGTGGGATAAGTGAAGCTTAATTTTATTATTCTATTATTAAATAAAACTTGGGAGTCAGACTTTGGGGTAAAAAATCTGATAGATCCACAGAGTGATGGAGAAACGATCAGCTGACCCTGCCGCTCCCTGCTTCACAGATCAAAAAGGCCCTCCAATCTTTCTGAGCCCCTCCCTATTCCTTCCTGTGTGTCTTTATCCTAAAACCAAAAACTTTTTTCTTTAACCAAAAACTCTCTGGTTAATTCTGGTCAGCTAATCGCTAACTCCACCCGCCCTGATTCAAGGTCAAGTTTATTGGCAGTCTTGGAGTATCAGAATGTGCTCAAAATATCCCACAACAGATGAGAAGTCAAGAATGCCTTCAAGAAAGAATATGCGGGGTTCAGGAAAAATGTTTCTGGGAAGATCACAGGTTACAGATTCCTTTTAGACACCCAAGCTGTGGCATTAACTAGGCAGTTGGGTGCATGCAGCTGGAATTTTTAGTAGGGAGGTCTGGGCTGGAGAGAAAGCCATGAGACTAAAAATTAACCTTGATTGTTAGCTTGGTGGGATTTAGGATTACCATGGAAATAGACTTCTGTGAGGGATTTCCTACATTAGGTTAATTGAAATGGGAAGACAAGCGTAAATGTAGATGCCACCATTCCAGGGGTTGGGGGGGGGGTCCTGGACTAAATAAAAAGGAAAAAGAAAGCTGAGCAGTTTGTACCATCTCTCCCTGCTCTGACTGCTGATACAGTGGGAACTGCTGCCAACGGTGCTGCCATGACTTCCCTGCAGCAGAAAGACAAGTCATACAGAGAGGTGATGGGGTGAGAGTGGACAGAGAGAAGGTGAGGGCCTGACTAGAGCCTTGGGACATGCTGATAATGACAGACAGAAGAGCCAAAGAGACTGAAAAGGAAGCAGGAAGCTGTTCAAAAGAGTACTTTCCTCCACATTGACTTATGTAAATGCTTCAAGGCAGGAGATGATTCGCTGTGTCCAGTGCTGGAGAAAGGCCCAATAAGGTGATGGTTGAGAAACGATTTAGTAAATGGGAAGTCAGGCATGAGGTTGATAAGGGCAGTGTTAGGGGGGAGGTACAGCCTTCACCAGAGGGTGGACAGCGGGGAAGTGGTTACTTTTTGCACAGCAGAAATGAGGATCTTTTGGCTATGCCAGTGAGAATGCTTCAAAGAAGAGAGGAGAAATGTAGGGGAAACCAGGAGGGCCCTGAGACATATAGAGAGAGCCTGTGTCCGCTGGGCATGGTGGCACTTACCTTTAATCCAATACTTGGGAGGCAGAAGCAGGAGGCCTCTGTTAGTTCCAGGCCAGCTAAAGCTAAACAGAAAAACCCTATCTTGGACAAACCAGCCCCCTCCCAGAAGCCTAGACCCCCAATTTATCCTTTGACAGTTTCACAATGCATACAACGTAATGCAATCATTTATACTCCCTTCTCTCCCCTCCCCGTCCAGCGTCCCCATGATGGGTGTGGGGCCATCTTCTTGAGCATGGGTGGCCTACCAGGGAACAACCCCTAAAGAAAACTGACTCTTGCTTCCCTAGCAGCCATCAACTGTCAATAGCTCCTCTGCTAGTGGTTGGGGATCGTGAGCTCCTCCCCATCCACGCTGGAGAGTGGCTTGGCTTGATTTGGTGCTGTTCCACTATCTTTGAGAAAATGGGAGCATGGAAGCATAGGAACTGGTCCCGGGTGGCGATTCATCCATAGACGACGTGTGTGTGTGGTGTGTGTGTGTGTGTGTGTGTGTGTGTGTGTGTGTGTGTGTTAGGAACACGTCATGTTTCCTAATCTCTATGATATTCTTGATGAATACGAAGCAAAGCCAGGAGTGAGGACGAAAAAAGCAAGTCTGATGACAGTTTGATGGAAGGAAAGGGAAAGACGTTTGAAACCAGGTTGGGAAGTCGGTGCGGTGCGTTACTGGCAGTTTTGCCTGGCAGGTTAATGTCCTCCTGCTCGCCACAGTTGCGTTTCCTTGGAGACCAAGGCGTTAGCGAAAGCGCCTGGTCTCCTTGGGATCCATTCTGAGACAAGAAGTAGCGGAAGCTTTACGGACTTCTGGAGACGGGTCTGTGTCTGGAAGATCAGGACTCTTCACTTTTCCCCAATGGCACAGAAGTAAGTAGAGAGCACGGCGGGGTGGTGGAGCACGCATGCGTGGGCTTTATGCCGCAGCCTTTGCTCTCCAGGCTCCAGCTCACTGGTTGCTTGGTCAAGAGGGTCTGCAGATCTCTCCTGGGAAGTTCTCCCACCCACTCCCTACTCTTTCCAGATACACCTACTCTAGAAGTCATCCCTCAGGGCACAAGTTGCAAGTGCAGGTGAGTACAGGAAGGGTAGGGTGGAGCGGTGTGGGTGGAGGTCTCCGTGACCCTGTGTTCTACCTGCCATCAACTCCCATCTATGGTCGTGATAACTGAGCCTGATAGACTCTGGGTCTGAATGTCAAGCCTAGCAGAGTCCCTGGAGCAAGCCTCTGAATCTCACTTAATGCCATTCCTTACCTGATCGTAAGGGTGAATCAAACTGCTTACTGATCTCATTGCTGCTCCACTTGCTAGAGGGTGGGTCTTGGGTATTTTCCATGTTTTCTGTTTCTTCAGGTTCTTAGCACCTCATGGCCTACATGTCCTTGGTGAGTTCTGGCTACTTGATAAAACAAAATGCCTTGCAGATACCTCTCACAACTCAAGGCCTTAGGCTGTGTTATTAGGTTCACTTTCCGAATGAGAAAATCAAGGCTTAGAGCTCAGGTCACTTGCTCTAGGATACAGGTAACCTGAAAAGGGCAAGCTGGATTTGAACTCTCGGACCCTGGAACTGACTGTGTGACATGTGGTACATTGTGTTCCCTAACAGTGGTCAGAGAAGAACCCGAAGCCATCCATTCTGCCTCCCCTCCGACCATCCAAAAGCCGTAGCAAAAGCAAAATGAAGACTCCGTCTAGTATCCAGCCAGGTGGGCAGAGGCTCCTGGGAGCTATTGTGGGTGTTGGGGACAAGCTAGAGTAGCTGCTTTTGTCCCTTGACACCGTTCATATTAAGCTAACTAATGTGACAAATAGCCTTCAGTCTTCAGGTACTGATAGGGAAATTCATTTCTTAGGAATGGATTTGTAGATGTGTGGGGAGGAGCTGGTCTGTTCCATACAGTGATTCAGGCATCTAGGCTCTTTTAGTGGTATAGGTTTAATGTTTGGTAAGTCCTTGAGGACCTCTGCTGGCAGAGAGGGAAAAGAGAGCAAGAACAAGGGGTCCCAGACCTGAAGTGACACATACCATTTGTACTTCTTCCATGGGTTGCAACTCTCATCACATGACCACGTCTGCCTGGGAAGCTGGGAAGTGTCTGGCTCTATCTATGTTGGGGGGCGGGGCAAACAGTTTGAGGAATTAATAGACTCTATCACAGCATTGTTAACCTTCCCATGGAAATTCTGAGGTTTGGGCTCAGGCAAACGTGGGTTTGCATCTTGACAATGCTATTTACTCACTTGGAAGACTCTTTCATCTTTCTGAGCTTTAGTCATCTTAACTGTGAAAAAGGATTGTGTAGGCTAGGCATGGTGGGTACATACAGATAATCCCTCCAGCATTCAGGAGGCTGAGGTAGTAGATTGGGAGTTGAAGGGTAGCCTGAACTATAAGAGCAGCCCTTGTGTTGTATAGCTATTTCCTGCCAACAGAAATACCCCTTGCCCTGTGGACCCCATGGAGGGAGAAGTAAAGGAAACTTAGAGGACTTAGGAAGTAAAGGAAAATTATAAGGCTTGGGAAATTCCTTAAAGAGTTGCAAGATCCCTCCTCTAGGACTTATGAACAGTTACAGCAGCCCAGAGAGCTATGGCAGAGCTGCTTGCAAGCAGGGAGCTTCAGGAAGGCAGTTTTCATGAACTTTGACCCATGCTTGGGTGAGCTTTGGGGGATGCAACTGTCTATGAGTTAGTTATCCATGCCATCTGTGATCTTGTAAGTCATCCTTAACTCATACTCTTTCAAGTAATTCTAGTAAAAACTGGCCCCAGTGGCTAGATCAGATGGAATAATGTATCTGGCCTGTTGTTGGTGCCCTGTCTAAATGTTCACACCTCCCCAGGAAAAGCCATACTGCATTCTATTGCCTCCCAGGAACATCTTAAAAAAAAACAAAAACAAAACACACACACACACACACACACACACACACACACACACACAAATCCAACAAGATACAAACAGAAAAGTAATACTTCTGTATATCTTAACACCAGGCTTCTACCTGTGGGTAATCTTATGTTCTTCTAAAGTCCCAATAGTTTAGTACCTTCCTGTGATCCCAACACTTGAGAGGCAGAGGCAGGAGGATTAGGAAAAAGTTATCTGTCTACATAGCTAGTCCAGGACCAGCCTTGCCTACATGGGACCCTGTCTCAAAACTCTAAAAAAAAAAAAAAAAAAAAAATCCTGTAGTAAGCATATATGTAATAAGAGTAGCTTAGCATCTCAGCATTTAATATTAAAATTTCCCAGGATTAAGGATCTTGATCTGTTAAATACTAAGTATGGTTCTCAAGTGTACAGTTGTACTTGGAGTAGGAATGTTGGTGGAGACAGGCTGGAGACAACCAGCTGACTGGTGGCTCCATGTTGGTATAGAACTGTCTGAAAGGAAGCAGGGTTTCTATTCCCTCCCCATGCCTCCTTCCCCCTCCCTTCCCATGCTGCCCAGGCTGTCATCCTCCTGCCTCTACCTCCTGAGTGCTGGGAGTACATGCTGGAACCACCATGCCCAGTTGACGCAGTATTAAAAATTACATTCAGGGCTTTGTGCACGCTGGGCCAGCATGGTACCAGGTGAGCTGTATCCCATCCTAAGCATCTGCTCTGTAAGAGCCTTTACTCTGTCTGACTGCTGCTCACGGTGTTTCGGAGATGGCTGTGTGGAGTTCTGCATAGCTGCTATATCACTAGACATGATAGCAGCTAGGAGCCAGCCCTGAAGCTGTGGCAGGTACTGTGTTAAACACCTTAGGACATAGTGACATTTCATCCAATTTTCATGACCCACCTATGAGGCAGGCATGAACTGTTCCCATGTTATAGGAAGACTGAGGGATTAGAAACCACATGGCCTTCCAGGTGACAGAGCTGCTAGAAAGTCCTTCCCACCTCAACTGACCTTTCTCCCAGCCAGGTGGGGAGAGCAGGGGTTTGGGTTTGTTGGACATACTGCCTCCCACTTGCTGCCCCTTTGTGTGTCAGGGCCTAGAAGAACACAGAAGGGGTAGGCTCTTTATTTTATTTTTTATTTTTTTGAGACAGGATCCTGTCTGGCCTCTAACTCACAAGAAAGCCTCCTGTCTTTGCCTCCCAAGTGTTAAAGGCATGCACCACCATGCCTGACTGTGGTGGGGATGATGGTGGTGGGAGTTCTTGATTTTTGGCTGGTTGACAGTGGGGTTGGCCTGGTTTACCTCAATGTTTCCATTAAGTTCACCTTCCAGGGAATTGATTGACCCTGAAGAGAAACTGAAGCTTACACTCTGGGGAAGGGGTCCTGTCCCTGTCCATCTCTGCTCTTGCTAGCCATACCTCAGTCATCCCCGTGTCACTGCATTCTCCTGGGCTCCCCCTCCCCCACCTGGTAACAAGGCCTATGGTAGAGCTGGGGTTTCTTTGTGGACAGCAGTTTTATCCTTGTTTGTGTCACATGGTAAATCTGTAAATGAGTGGGCCTGGGGCTGGGCCCAGCCACTTGCACTGTCTGGGACCTGAGCCCAGGCCTGTGTGCACCCTCATCCTCTCTCTGCCCTTCTCCATCTGTCCTCCACAGTGAAGTCCCAGACCTCTGTGGAGTTAGTAAAGAACGTACGAGGACTGCGAAAAAAGGAACAACCTCACGCTCACCGTGGGAGGATGCAGGCCAAGATCCGGCTGATGCGGGTAAGAGAGGCCCAGAGCAGAAGACAAGGCACAGCTCCTCAGACTGAGGCAGCACAGTCAGTTTCCTCCATATGGCAAGCCGTATGCACACTTAACTCTTCTCATTTTGCAGATGGGAAAAGAAATGGCTCGTACCAGGTCATGCAGCCAGAGAACGGTGGTATGGGGGCCCAAACAGCTAAGATTGGGCTGCTGTGCTTAGACTGAAAGAATTAGACTAGCTCTCTGGGTTAGAAATGTAACCAGTGGCTTGTCTTAGTGCTGACAGTACACGGAGCCCTGTCCATTTGGGAGTGGTCCTTGGAATGGGTTCTTCTAGAACCTTCGCATCAGCTGATACCATTTGTAGCTAACTCATCTCCCCCCTCCCCAGGCCAGGTCTCACTGGCTAACCCAGCTGCCCTTGAACTCACAATCCTCCTGCCTCTGCCTCCAGAGTCCTGGGACACAGGTGTGCGTTACCATGTCTACTGTTGTTATACATTGTTTTACAGCTTTGGTAATCACTTGAACCATATATTATTATTATTATTATGACAATTATTATTTTTATTTTTGTTTTTCAAGATAGGGTTTCTTTGTCTAACACCTCTGGCTGTCCAGGAACTCACTCCATAGACCAGGCTGGCCTTGAATTCACAGAGATCTGTCTGTCTCTACCTCCCGAGCGCTGGGGTTAAAGGTGTGCGCTACCACAGCCCAGCTTGATCCATATTTTATTTTAATTTTTGGATTTTTTGAGACAGGGCTTCTCTGTGGCTTTGGAGGCTGTTTTGGAACTAGCTCTTGTAGACCAGGCTGGTCTCGAACTCACAGAGA